GCTCCCAAGCGGCGCACTGTAGCAGTGCGCCGCCGGGCCAGCCCAATTGAGTTGCTTTTCAATACACAACTAATTTTCTTCTTGGGATTTGCTCCATCAGAGGAAGAAGTAGAGTGAGAACTAAGAGACCTGGATTCTGATGTGGTCTTGCATGACCTAGCCATGCGACCTTGAATGAGTGCTTTACTCTCATCCTCGGTTTCCCCAGAAAATTGGCCTAGACTGGATCTCTTCTATGCTCCAGAATAGTGGTCCATTGAGATTATTGGTTAAGTGAGGAAAGAGTCAGAGTAGATAACTCAAAGATCTCTTACAACTCTAAAATCCAGAGATTGTAACCCACATATTGTAGAGGAGCAAATCAATGGAGACCCAGATTCAAAAATTAAAGCCTACTAAGAAATAGAGTCCTTTCTTAAAGATTCTTATTCATGTATCTATTACATTTCCTAATCTCTTACCTATTTTAGCTACAAGCCCAGCGCAGGAGAGTCATCATCTGGGTCTTCCCATGCAGTGATGGATATCTCTTTGCCCACTGGAATCAGTGCGAACGAAGAAGACTTAAGAGATGTAAGTGTTTTCTTTTAAATATTGTTGTGAATGCTTGCTTTTCTTTTCTGCATTATTTTATAGACAAATATATTTACTTTCATTTTAGTATGTCACTTCCATAGAATCCCCCAGACTATTCTTTCCAAAACAACAATCTACCTAGGTTTTGATTTATCAAAGGGAAAGGGGAGCATATACTTACATGGCCCAAAAGACGTGAGTGTATCTGCCAGTGTGTTTTCAAGAGGAACTGCTCTTCAACTTCTTTGTTTTTTTTTTAAATTCTATTTATTGAATCAAAATTGATTATACATATTTTGGGAGTTGAACATTGAGATATGTTGATTAAATCAATATTACTAGCATACATATTGTTACAAATCATAATTATTCTTTATGCCCCTTGTCCAATCTCTCCCATTCCCACAATCCCTCCCCTTCCCCCCTCTAATTGCCCTAGATTTCTTCTCTCTTTCAAAAGAATAATGGTTACTCTGTTAANCGTGGTGGCTGTGGTGTCTAGCCACTTTTGCAGCAGCCATGGTTATTGTGGTGGCTGTGGGGAGCCACCCACGTGGAGGTGCTGTTTTTGGCATGCTCCTTGGCACTGGCAGTGTGCCTGGTTGTGGGGTGTGTTTGGTCCCCTTCTCCATGCCTCTGGTCCATGGCAGGCCCCAAGATGCTGGCGCCATGTGCCTAGTTGTGGGAGAGGGAGTCAGTCCCCTTCTCCATGTCCCGGGTCCCTGGGCGGGCCCCGAAGTGCTGGCACAGTGTGCCTGGTTGTGGGAGGAGGGTCTGGTCCCCTTCTCCATGCCCCGGGTCTCTGGGCAGGCCCCAAGACGCTAGCGCCATATGCCTGATTGTGGGAGGAGGGTCCAGTCCCCTTCTCCATGCCTTGGGTACCCAGGTGGACCCCAAGGTGCTGGCATTTTGTGCCTGGTGTGGGAAGAGGGTCCAGTCCCTGGCTCCATACCTCAGGTCACTGGGCGGGACCTGAGGCACTGGCTTGGCGTACGTGGTTGTCGGAGAGAGGGCCAGTCCTCTTATGCATGCCTCTGGGCCGGGTGGGCCCCAAGGTGCTGGCATGGTGTCTCTGGTTGTGAGAGAGAGGTCCAGTCCCCTTCTCCTTGCCTCAGGTCCTTGGGTGAGCCCCGAGGTACTGGTGTGTTGTGCAATGTTGTGGGAGGAGGGTCCGGTTCCTGGCTCCATGCCTCAGGTCACTGGGTGGTACCCAGGGTGCTGGCTTGGTGTACCTGGTAGTGGGAGAGAGGTCCAGACCCCTTCTCCATGCCTCAGGTCCCTGGGCAGGGCCTGAGGCACTGGCGTGGTGTGCCTGTTTGTGGGAGAGAGGTCCAGTCCCCTTCTCCATATCCCGGATCCCTGGGTAGGCCCCAAGGTGCTGGCTCAATGTGCCTGGTTGTGGGAGAGAGGTCCATTCCCCTTCTCCTTGCCCCGGGTCCCTGGGTGGGCTCCAAGTTTCTGGCATGTTGTGCCTGGTTGTGGGAGAGAGGTCCATTCCCCTTCTCCTTGCCCCGGGTCCCTGGGTGGGCTCCAAGTTTCTGGCATGTTGTGCCTGGTTGTGGGAGAGAGGTCCATTCCCCTTCTCCTTGCCCCGGGTCCCTGGGTGGGGCCCAAGGTGCTGGTGGTGTGCCTGTTTGTAGGAGAGAGGTCCAGTCCTCTTCTCCATGCCTTAGGTCCCCGGGTGGTCCCTGAAGCGCTGGCTCAGTGTGCCTGGTTGTGGGAGAGAGGTCCATTCCCCTTCTCCTTGCCCCGGGTCCCTGGGTGGGCTCCAAGTTTCTGGCATGTTGTGCCTGGTTGTGGGAGAGAGGTCCATTCCCCTTCTCCTTGCCTTGGGTCCCCGGGCAGGCCCCAAGATGCTGGCATGGTGTGCCTGGTTGTGGGAGGGGGGTCTGTTCCCCTTCTCCATGCCTTGGGTCCCTGGGCAGGCCCTGAAGCTCTGGTGCGGTGTGCCTGGTTGTAGGAGAGAGGTCTGGTCCCCTTCTCCATGCCTCGGGTCCCCAGGTGGGTTCCAAGCTGCTGGCAAGTTGTACCTGGTTGGGGGAGAGAGGTCCGGTCCCCTTCCCCATGCCCCGGGTCCCTGGGTTGGCTCCGAGGTGCTGGCGTGGTATGCCTCGTTGTGGGAGAGAGGTCCAATCCCCTTCTCCATGCCTCAAGTCCCTGGGTGGGCCCTGAAGCACTGGCTCAGTGTGCCTGGTTTTGGGAGAGAGGACAATTCCCCTTCTCCTTTCCCTGGGTCTGTGGGTGGGCTCTGAGGTGCTGGCATGTTGTGTCTGTTTGTAGGAGGGTGATCTGGTCCCTGAACTCCATACCCTGGGTCCCTGGGTGAGTCCCAAGGCACTGGCTCAGTGTACCTGGTTGTGGGAGAGAGGTCCAGTCCCCTTCTCCCTGCCTCAGGTCCCTGGGCAGGCCCCAAGCTGCTGACATGGTGTACCTGGTTGTGGGAGGGGGATCCAGTCCCCTTCTCCATGCTTCAGGTCCCCATGCTGGTCCCGAGGCACTGGTGCGTTTTGCCTGGAAGTAGGAGTAGGGTCCAGTCCCCAGATCCAAGCCTCCAGTTCCCAGGCAGGCCCCAAGGTGCTGGTGGTGTGCCTGGCCTGGAACTAATTTTTTGTCCTTTGCTTCTAACACAGAGAAACTTCCTGTGGGAACCAGTACTTGACTGTGTGGTTGTTTAAATTTCTACTTTGCTGCTGTTTCCCTAGGGAAGGCTTTTTGTGCAGCTCAGGGTTTAATGGCTAATCTTATAGGTACTTCCAGCGCTCCAGAGACCTGGTGGATCTGTGTTCTGTAGAATCTCTGATCTGGGCCTGAGTTTTTTCATCAAACTGCACCCCATGCAATTCTGCATTCCTGACCAGTCTCCTCTGAGTGGTCCTGCACTGATTGGGGGGAAGATTGGCTGTCATTGCTGTGTCCCAGTGTTCTCCTGGTGGGCCTGTCTCCCCCACTGCCCGTGCTCCAAACACTTCCCTTGGGATGGGCCCTGTCCTGGTCCCTTGTGATGATTCACCAGCCTCTGAACAGCTCCCTTTTTTCAGTTGTTCTGGTTGCTCACTCCTTTGTGGATCCACGGGAAACCTACTAGTGGTCTTGCTGTCCTGGGGGCCACCAAGACCCTCTTCTCCCCTGCTGCCTCCAAGTAACTCCATCTGAAGGGCACAGCTGCAGCTTCTGCTGGCTCCTGCTCCATGTGCTCAGCAGCTCCAGCCTTAAAGCAGCTGTGGGCCGAAATGCTCAGAGCAGCTTTTTCTTTCTCTCATCGTAGTTTCTCCTGCCTTCATGAACTCTGTAGGTCTCTCCTCCTCTTCCCCTGAGCTCCAGCTGCCCCAGCTTGGCTGATGTTACATTTTTATAGTTGTAAATTTGGTTGATTTGTGGGAGAGAGTGACACTGCGGTCTGTCTATTCCGCCATCTTGATTGGATCCCCCGCCTTCTTTGAATAGCAGCTCACATTATTTTTATAGTTGTAAATTTGGTTGATTTGTGGGAGAGAGTGACACTGCGGTCTGTCTATTCCACCATCTTGATTGGATCCCCCGCCTTCTTTGAATAGCAGCTCACATTACTGTGATTTAACATACATCAACAGGTGAATGCATTTAAACCAAAAGATAGTGAAATTAAATTCAAGCTTTTCTCTTTCCTTTGGTAGCTTGTAGAAAGGGTGGATCAGCTATTAACTGATTACCAAATCAAAGATGGACATGTTATTCTGCAACTGAATTCGGTAAGCTCCACCTCCTGCCTTTTTTCTTTTACTATTACTGTTCGAATTTTACAGGCTAAGATATTATGAATATCTTTTCTCCTGTGATTTCCTTAAATCCTCAAATTTGTCAAACAGATTCCCTCCAGTGATTTCCTTTGTGTTCGATTCCGGATATTTGAACTTTTTCAAGTTGGGTTTCTGAGTCCTGCTACTTTTACAGTGTATGAATACCACAGACCAGGTAACCAACTCTACTCTAAAATTTCTTTGGAAGACTATTTTTTATTCTTTACAGAACCTTTAGAAATACACTAGTGGCCCATGCATTTTCTTCATTGACTCTTTTAGAGCTTACTCTTCATAAAAGTCCCAACTTGAATATCCAAACGACTTCATGATATTGAGCAAATCATTTTACCTCTCAGTCCTCAGTTTCTTCATTTTAAAAATAACTGGATTATATTTCCCCCAACTTTAAAATTCTTTGCCTCAAGTTTATCTTTGGCATTCACCTTCAGTATTCATTGCATCTCTACTTTTTCACGAAGCCCACTTACCCTACTATTTCTTTAATCCTCCCAGAACACCTTCTACACCATCTGTGTTCCCATTACATTTTGCAGATAGCTCTATTACAGCAGTTTTTACATTGCATTGTAATTATCTGTTTACAAGTCTTTCTCACCAACCCCAGACAGAATGTTTTCATTCTTGAGTCCATAGTATCTAACACAGTGTTAGGTATATAATGTGTACTCAGTAAATGTTTGTTGAATGAATGATTCCACATTGACTACTCAGCCACTTCTGAGAATGTTAAGTGATTGGAGAGCTGATTGGTTCACAAGACAGGCAACTCCACTTTGGGCAATTCTACTTGTTAGCGAATTCTTAAAGTGAGCCAAACTGACACCCATTCATTCAAGTTTTATCTTCTGAAATCACATGGAACATACCTAGCCCCCCTTCCCCTTGAGAAATACATACATGCTTTTCTTCTCTTGTCCAACAATTACAATTCTTTCAATAGATCCTCATGTGACAAAATTAATTTTCCTCTCATTCATGGAAGCATCAAGTATTTTTGTTCTAAGAAATGAATATTGGACAGTAAAATTTCAAGCACAGAACTAAGCTAACAAGGGGATATCTTTTTGAGGGTAGAAGAGCCCTTCCCAGGACAGCCAACTGAAAATTTAACCTCCCTTTGTCTCAGCTATAAAAAGAAAGGTTTGGAGCAGTGATCTCTGAGGCCCTGTGTGAGAATCACCGATCAGTAGATGTGCTGTGTTATCAATCAAGCCATGTCTCTTAACCATGCTTTTATCACCGCAGATAAACAGTGCACCATGTTTTACAGCACTTCTCCTACTGAACTTGACAAAGTCTGTGAAGGGACGGTGTGCAAGTGTGTAGAAGGTAAACTTCATTTAACATATTTAGGCTGCATGCTTGTTTAAAGCAGTCACTCGAAACCTGGGGTTAGTCTGGGGAGGGCTGTTTGGCAAACTGTTGTTTCTCAGCAGTAGAAATTTAACCTCAGCTGATTGAAGCTAATGATTTCTTGAGCATCGTAAAGTTATTTCTCCACAACACCTGAACGACCTTATGGTCTACACTGTACAGGGGCTGAGGCACACCATCCAGATGGTTGTTGGGTAACATGATGTGAAATTTTTACTTTCACCTGGTCTTTTTTACATAATAGGACCACAACTCAAGAGAACAGAGGCTCAGGATTGGGTCACTAGCTTCTCTTTCTTTCTTCTTACCCTTCCCATTTAATGAAATTCTGTTTATTTTCCATTTTTATTTAGTCTTTTGTAAATCTAAGACAGCCTCTCAGCCAAGAAAAAAGTCCCAATAGTCAACAACTGGCTCCGTGAGGTTCTGGGTTGGTTTTCGTTGTGTTTCTTTCAAAGTCCTTAATAACTACACATTTCCTAGGTACTTATTGTACCATCTGTAAGTCAGTCAAATTATCATTTTGGTTCCTTCAAGGGACTTTTGATTATACTCAAAGTGGAAACATTTTTCCCCTTTCTTCAAGGGAAGCATACACATTTCTTAAGTGCTAAATGTGGAATGACCATCCATTCTAAGAATGTCCTATGTTCAAGATTTTTTGTTTGTTTTGTTTTGTTGTATTATATAATGTTTTACTTTATGGAAGAGAAGAAAATAGACAAGTCTCCAGGAATCTGGCATCTGTAATATTAGATTAGATTATCTCAGGGCTCACAGGAAACCATGTTTACTTCCAAAGAGAGTGTCTTCTTTACATTAATCTAACTTTCACCATTTTTCACAAAACTCAGCTGACTGTGGGCAAATGCAGGAAGAATTGGATCTGACAATTTCTGCAGATACTAGAAAAGAAACAGCATGTAAACCAGAGATAGCATATGGTAAGTTCAAAAGTTCAATATAGTTCCTTTAAACAAGAAATTTTATGAATACATGATCGGTTAGAAAGATAAAAAGCCATACATAGTGATTACATGGATATAGCATTCCACATGTTCACTTGAAGGAAAATGCCATCAATTTTCAGCATTAACATGCAGTTATTTATTCTTCAGCGAAGAAATGTGACTTTCATTTAAACTAATATAAGTGACGTGCACACCCAGCCAAGACACTTTACTGTAATAGATCCTTTTGAATTGCAGGCACTAAAACATATTCCAAGGGAACTTTTGAGAGGCCACAGATGTATAAGATTTCAGTTTTGTTTTCTTCCAGTTGGTACAGCAGAGACAGAGGCAAAGGTGGTTTTCTAAAAATCTCTTCAAGGTAAAAATATAAATACTAAATACTTTTTAGTATATGCAGAATTGCAATTCATGTTTGAGACTCCATTTCAAAAGAGGGATCTCCTTCTGGTTTTCCAGCATTCAGAGGTAAATCAATGCCCAAGTACAGCTGTAGCCTTGTCTCAAGTTCCTGATAGAATCAGCTCCTTTGTTTTCTATCCATAGTTTCTGATGTTTATTTCTGGCTCTTTGTTTGTTTGCTTGTTTGAGAGAAAGAGGGAGTATATTGTATAGTCTCTCAAATAGTTTTTTGAAAATTGGAAGGGTGTTATTTATAAATAAAACATAAGTACAACTTATTTGACACTTTGTGTTTACCATCTGCTTTCGTAGGCAGTTTCTTATTGAAGTTCCATAAGAACTCTTTGAGGTAACAGAGGATTTTCACTATTTTACCAGTGAAGAAGCCGAGGCTCAGAAAGACTAAATTATTTGCTCAAGGTCATGCAGGAAGCAAGCAGTAGAAGAAGGATGCATCCTGGTCTCCAGTATTATTTCCATCATAGTCTACTGAACTCTCTTAATGGAAACAAAGCCATCAAAATGAATTTTGTGTGGTTTATATTATTTCTTTTCTTTGAATTAATTTTGATTTAAAAAGAAAGCTGCCCAACTCAGCCAAGAACCACTGCAATTTTTAAAATGCATCAACATTTGAAGAAAATACTATATGTATTTCTTTAATTCCATTTTATCGTTTTAACAAATAAAGATTTCACTAAATTATTTCTTCTTTCCATTTTAGAACTATTTTCACTCTGAAATATCAGAAATGTATTTTAACATGAGAAAAAATGCAATCTGGATTTATTGTATTACTTTCAAGAGAAGACTTAGCTGGGTTTTTCTGGAGAATACAGGCTATTGTTACTGGAATAACAGAATAGAAAAAATATAGTTCTCTCTCTCTGCTCATGACCACATAGTCCATGTCCACCATAAAGACTTAAGAATCTGAAATTCAGGACATTTTTAATCCATTTTCAGCTACTAATTTACACAAGCTTTGGTTTTGCCATGATGAGTTTACCCATCTATCGATCGATCAGTTATCTATCTTTCTATATCTGGGATAGACTCATAGTCTGGAAAGATTGCAAAAATGAACAAACCATCCTAGTTTGGGTCTAGGTCTCTGTGTTACACGGGGGTAAGAGAAAGCTGCTTTGCATATTGCTGAATAAGAGGCATTTGATGGAGTTGCTTTGAGAAAGTATAAAAGTCCAATTATGTTATGTTATGTTATGTTATTTATTTATTTATTTATTTGTGACCGGTAAGGGGATCACAACCCTTGGTGTGGTGTTACCCGCACTGCACTCAGCCAGTGAGTGCACCAGCCATCCCTATATAGGATCCAAACCCGCGGTGGGAGCGCCGCTGTGCTCCTAGTGCCGCACTCTCCTGAGTGTGCCACGGGGTCGACCCAGTTATGTTATTTTCAATATGGGATTTCCTCTTTCCACCCTTTTTGGGCAGTGAAGACAGTCTTTAAATTGTGAGTGCACCAGCCATCCCTATATAGGATCCAAACCCGCGGCGGGAGCGCCGCTGTGCTCCTAGTGCCGCACTCTCCTGAGTGTGCCACAGGGTCGGCCCAGTTATGTTATTTTCAATATGGGATTTCCTCTTTCCACCCTTTTTGGGCAGTGAAGACAGTCTTTAAATTAAAAAAAAAAAGAGAACAAACCTTTCAGATCATTCATTTCAACCCCATCAAAAGCAAAAATAAGAGGGATCTTTTCTGAGGCCACATAGAAGAGATGGGTCCCTTCAAGCTGGTCATTCCAGAGCTGAGGTCAACACACAGTGCATCAAACACTGATACCCAAATGAATAGAAGACAGGATTGGGGGTGGCTTATGACCTTGTTGCCAATCCAAGCAAAGATAAATGAGAAAACAGAATGTTATTAAAAACCAAAGATCAAAGCCAGTGGAGCTGTATGAGGAAGCAAAGTAAAGAAACAAGGAAGCTCACATGGTAGGCCTGAATGACAGAGAAAGGGCCCCTCTGTGGCCATGCAGAGGAGAAGGAAGGGGCTCTTCAAAGGATGTCCAGGGCATCACTCCACTAATCTTAAAGGATCAGCATCTGAACTTTACATCTCACAAAGGTTTATCTTGTTTCTGTTTGTTTTATGTGCTTCTGTTATTTAATTTAATATGGCTTTTATCCTAATCAACCTGTTCTGTAACAGTGGCCAGGGCTAATGATTCTAATAGATGGAGAGATTGATTAAGACTGAGGGGATTTGGGAAGACTTCTTGGAAGAAATAAGATTTACCTCAGGGTGTCCATAATAGCCGGCTGTGCTTCATTTCTCATTTGCTTGACAAATTCTGGCTTCTATTGGACACGGCATTAATGGTATTAAGCCTGAATTGTTTCATTTTGTTTTTTTACCAGCTTATAAAGTTAGCATCACATCCATCACTAAAGAAAATGTCTTTGTCAAGTACACTGCAACTCTTCTGGATATCTACAAAACTGGTGAGAAATCATCGAGTCATTCTTTCATTCAACAAACATTTAGTCCTTACTGTGTGCCAGGTATTATATGAGTCTTAGACACAGAGCATACAACTTGACTAAGTCAGCCAGGGTTCCTGCCTTCATAAAGATTGTATTCTACTTGGGGAGACACAGTAAATAAAAGTGTTCATGTAGACACCTCTCATTGAATCCTTTTTCCTCACACCTCAGCCAGACAGTTTGATAAGTTGTTCAGGTCCTCCCAGTACCCTGAGATCAACAAAAACCATAGGCCATCTTCAGAGTCTTCAACTTTTCATTTTAAGTTATTTAAAACACTTTTTCAATGAAATAGTTGATTTATTCAATGACAATTAAAATTTATCTTATTACCTTATTTTTATCTTCCAAAAAGTTGTTTTCTCATTTCAGTAGATAGAAATTTTGCAATAAGTAGGACCATAAATTTAAATTGCAATAATATCTATATTGATATATTTTTCTTTTGGAATCTTATGAAGTATTGTAACTCTGAAAATGCTTGATTGTTTTTAACCATACTCAAGTTAAAAATTCTAATAATACTTTCCAAATTTTTTTGTTTTATCAATACTCTGATAAAATTTTTTTCTAGTCTTCATTATTTTAAATGTTTTACTATATGAAACTGACTTATGATGTCGGGTTTTTTTCCTCATTGATGTTCACAATTTTTTTATTTGAACCCCGACTGCTACTCTGATGAAAGAGGCAAGAGTTTAACATTTTGATCTTCCCATAGTCCAACTTTGGGGCACTCTTTGCATCCATCATAGCGGGAACCGGTCTGTATGTGGGATCCGAACCCTCGGCGGGAGCGCCGCCGCGCTTCCCAAGCGGCGCACTATCCAGTGCGCCACCAGGCCGGCCCTTTATTATTATTTTTTAAAAATAAACATTGAGATAGATGTCATTCCTGCTTTTAACAGTGGGAGCCCCAGGCAGCTTCAGAATCCTTCAAGGGTCTGTGAACCTTCCCCAGCACAGCCCCTGACCCCTGGGGACCTGACCATGACTGGGCTTTTACAGAGGAAATCAAATACCACTTTTCCCTACTGTGACCATCATCACAAACACTTTGTTTTCATTTCTTCTTGGTAGGTACATCTACCCTTTAGATTCCTTGACCTGGATTGAATATTGGCCTACGGATACAACGTGTCCATCATGTCAAGCGTTTTTAGCTAACTTAGATGCGTTTGCTGAAGACATCTTTTTAAATGGCTGCGAAAACGCCTGAAGTTCAGCTGTATACAGTTTTCACTTACAGACTCCTGCTGTTGAAGTTTCTTTTTTTTTTTCTTTCTTTCTTTCTTTCTTCTATTTTAAACATTCACAGCTCGTCTTATTTGGAAAGCTCACTCTACCTAGAATTAGGGGCATTTGCTTTTATTAGAAAACGATTTTAAGAGCTGTAACTTTCTGAAATAACATGGCCTTGGGGGGGGCATGAAGACAGATACTCCAAGGTTATTGGACACCAGGAGCAATAAATTGGAAAGCCTCCTAAAACCTACCACTCAGGAATGTTTGCTGGGGCCGAAAGAATAGCCCCATTGAAACAGAGTATCTTATAAAAACAAAGCCTTTGCTTGAAAGAAAATACTAAGGAACAGAAAATTGATCATTAAAGCCTGACTTTGCTTTCAAAATGTGTTTAAAAGCGTGTTATTTGATGCTAGGTCAGCTTTGACCACACAGACAGGCAGATTGAGAGAGGTGGAGAGAGGCAGCAGCAGAGAACCTAACCCCGACAAGGCCTCACCTCCGAGCCCACAGCAAACTGAGCAGGAGGGAGACTCAGTGTCTGCCCTTCTCTCCTGTCGCCCTCTCCATACCCCAGATGGGAGATCCCTCGACTCCTTTCCCCTTCCTCCCAGCACACACTCATTTCCCCAGGAACTTGCTCTTGCCAATAATTGCTCCACCAGAAGGCAGGCCCCCATGCAGAAACCTGGTGAAATGAAACTAAGCAGGAGTCAGGAGACCTTTGTTCTAGCCCTGACCAGTCTCTATATGAGCCTCAGTTTGAGCTTCATAAAAGTGGATTCATAACAGGAGGTTAATTTTAAAGTGACATTTTGCAGCACTTTAGATCTTATAAAGGAGTTCTCACATATATTCCCATTTAATGTCTCGAGAATCTCATAAGGTACAGGAATTATTATGATGATCCCCATTTTACACATGAGCAAGTTGAGGCTCAGAAAGGTGAAGCAATGTTCCCAGCCTAGTAAGGGGCAGAATCAGAGATCAAACCCCAAGGCTCTCTCTCAGTTTACACTTTCATCCCTATTCCACATCACTGCATGCCACATTGCTTGTCAGTTTCAATTTTCTAAGACTAGGACAGCATTTAGTAGTAGTATCTTAAACATGGATTAACCAGACCCACCCAACCATCACAAGGAAACAGGAAGACACACTCTGGATGTAATGGTAAAAACAGTGCCTGAAATGCAGCCCCTGTTGAAGAGTTACATGAAACTACCCAAAGCCTGGCAGTGTACCTCGTAAATAAAACTAAGATTTTCCACTTTCAGAAACTAAGGACTTTTTTTTTTTTAATGTCAAAGCTCACATTGTAGGCTCTCCCTTGGCAGAAAGAACCAATGTGTCCAGGATGCTTGAACTCCCTGTGAGTGAGGGGTGAGGGGCCTCCTCCAAGACAGGCCCCACAATGTCTCCTGTCACCTTCTTGCTGAAGGCAGGGTGGAGGGAAGCACGACAGCTGCTCTGGCAGCACAAGCATCTCTGAGCTGTCTGGCTGACTTCTCCCTGAACATTGTGCACATAGGTTGGGCCACAGTGGCCTAATTAACCCATAACGTAGTTGAACCATCAAATACCAAAGCAGGCTTTTGTGAGTTAGGCTGGCACCATTTAAAACATCCTCCTCAGCTAACTCTTGTGCATTTGACCGTGTTTCCTTAGTGAGGCTGTGTGACCCTCCAAACCAGGCTGGGCCCCTACTCAACCCTTCCCCAAGGCACTGTGCCCTTGCAATGATCCGTTTAGTCACACAGGATTATTTGTTTAGCATGAAGCCTCCTGACTACACTGTAAGCTCCATGTGGGCAAGGTCTGGGTGGATTCTATTTGCCATAATCTCCTGTGCCTGGCACAGTGTCAGGTACATTATGGGGCCTCAGTATGTGTTTGTGGATTCAGAAGACCTAAGTTCTAGTCTTGGCTTTGCCCCTAACTGGCAGTGATTTGGGACAAGCCTCTTAATGTCTTTGATAGCGTGCAAAACAAGGGTGTTGAACACTCTACTATCTCTGTTATCTGTAGCTCTAAGAAGATGTTTTATAATCTTATGCAAGCTTTTAAATATTGGGTTATGTATTTCTGTTTGGGCTGGTAGAGACGGGCAGGAGAGCATTTCTGATTGAGGGGGAAATCATAAGGCAGGTTTCCATCGGGGGTAAGCAAGATGATCTTAGGTGACACAGATGAACATTGTTCATTTTAACAGCTATATGTCTATTTCACATGTATTAGAAAAAATATAACTAGCACATCAAAGCCATGATATAAAATTTTCTTTTAAAATAAACTTATTTGTCAAGAAGTAAGCCTATTTAAGGAAAAGTATTAAGTAAATAAAAGCATAGATTGTTCTTAGGGCAAAAATCATGAGGTTGACACACAAGTGATGGAAGTTGAAGAAACTCTATCTTAAGAAAATACGTGAGTTGACCATGAGCCAAACTTGAGGCAGGCAGCCCACTCCATATTTTTCAGGGAGGGACTCTGGACCAAAGTCAGGTTCAGTGTTTCTTTCCAGCTCCTGTAATGCTAATTTATTCAGCAACATCCAACAAATATGTATTGATCTGTAAAGGTAGGCCAGGCCCAATTCTAAATGCTTGGGACCAAGATCCCTGCCCTGTGGAACTTAGACTTAAACTGGGGGGACATGCAATGAACAGTAAAGATAATAATTAAGGAATTGATCTTGGATGTTAGAAGGTGATAAGATCTATGGGGAGAAGAAAAAGTAGAGCAGAATAAGGAAGACTGGAAAAGGTCAGGGGGGTTGCAGTTTTAAATAGGATGTTCAAGTCAGGGCAGGCTTCAATGAGAAAGTGAGATTTGAGCATAAACTTGAAGGATATAAAAGAATGAGCCATATAGCCAGTGAGGGGAAGAGAGTCCCAAGCACCTTGGGTACCTAGTGCCCAAGCCCAAAACAGGAACATGCTGGTGTGTTGTAGGAAAAGCAAGGAGGCTGGGGTAGCAGATGCAGATTATGCAGGTCAATAGAAGGGGCTTTGGCTTTAACTCGAAAGGAACTGGGAGCCATTGCAAGGCTTTGAACAGAGGAGTGACGTGGTCTGCTAAAGGGTTACTCTGACCACTGTGTGAAAAGAAGGCAAGAGAAGAAGTGAGCAGACCAGGTAGAAGGTTACAGCAGCGAACCAGGCGAGGGCTGATGATGCCTCAGACCAGAGCGGCAGAAATGGAAATATTGAAAGTGATTGAATTCTGGATATATTTTTAAAGTAGATTCAGCTGGATTCCCTGATAGATCGCAAGTAAGTGTGTGTGAGAGAGAGAGAGGAGTTAAGGATCATACCAAGATTTTTGGCCTGAGCAAGTAGAAGAAAGTAGTTGCCATTGACTAAGATTAGGAAGGCTGCAGATGGAGCAGGCTGGGGGGAGTTAGGAGACAGGAGTTCAGTTTTGGACACGCTGAGTTTTAGATCTATTAAACATCCACGGGAAGGAGTTGAGAAGGCAATCGGTCATACAGTTCTGGAGTTCAGGAGAGAGGTCTGGGCTGAAAATATAAATCTGAGAGTCATCATTAAAGCCATGAGACTAGATAAGGTCATGAAGGATGTAAATATAGAGGAGAGGGGAAAAAAGAGGACCTAGGATAGAACTTTGGAGGATTCCCATATTGAATTGTTAGAGAAAAGAGATGGAAGACAGACTAAGTTAAGAGAAAAACCAGGAGATTGGGATGTCCT